TGTATTGACCTTGAAAATGTTTTAAATTTGCCTAGAGCTAATGTGGGAAACTTTTATTACAAACGAAAACTTTCAAATTATAACTTAACTGGTCATTGCTCGCTTAACAGGAAGGGTTATTGCATCCTTTGGCACGAAGCCATGACTGGTCGTGGAGGAAATGATCTAGCCAGTGCTGTAACATGTTTGCTTTTGAAAATCATGGCTGACCTTGACATAAATAAGTTCATACTTTGGTTCGATTCATGTGTACCACAAAACCGCAAAAGTTTCATGTCAGCAGCTTTGTGTGAATTTATAATACGATACCCACAAATAAAAGCAATTGAACAGAAGTTCTGCGAGCCAGGTCATTCCAGCATTCAAGAATGTGACAGCATTCATAGTCAGATTGAAAAATCCCTCTCTGCTGCAGAAATATTTAGTCCACTTGGGCTAGAAAGAGCTATTAAAAATGTAAACCGTAAAAAACCTTTCTGTGTTTACCAAATGCAATTAGGAGATGTAAAGAATTTTTCAGTTGTCGCTGGTTTGTCAAGTTATAAGTTAGTGCTTTATTCAAAGGTTAAAAATCTTGTTTATCGAAACGGACTGCCATACCATGTTTTTTTTAAAACCTCGTTTTCAGATAATTATTCACAAGCTCGTATAAATAAGTCTGTCAAGAAAGCAGCATCAACCATTGTTGCAAAACCATTAAATACCAATATACCAATGGCAGCTTGCTTTCGTGCTTCTTATCAGTCTATATCTGTTGCAAAAGCCAATGATATCATTTCCATGTATTCATACATGCCTGCTGTTGATATTGCATTTTATAAAACAATAATAAATTGAACATTTACAAAACATTAATAAAGTCAAAATATTTTTAGGGTTGTTATATGTTTAGTATAAATATAAATAACATATTTATATATATATAATAATATAAATAATATACATATAAATAACATATTTAAATAAAATATTTATTTAGTATAAATATAAAACACATTGAAATAATATTATTTTGAAATCTTGATAAAAATTTTTGTTTAGCTTGTGTTTTTTTTGTTTGTTTTTTTGTACTTTTATATTCATTTTCCCCCACTTGTTTGGTTTGGATGGTTTTCCATAGTGACATAAAGGCCACTATGAAAGAGTTAAAGCAATGTTTCACAACCTGATGCCCTTCCTGACGTTAACTTGAGTAACAATTTTTTATTTGTAAATATTTGCAATAACTTTTAATAAAAAGTTAAACTCTATTAATGGATACACAGGCATAATAAAAATAAAATCAAGTTCATCTTGCATGGAGTTTGTGATTAGATTAGTTGAATTGTTGTGAATTATCAGATAGTTACATAATGTTATTTCTTTTATTATTACATTTTTTTTAACATAAGTCTTTCCTATATACCTTTCATAATTTATTTTATACGTTTATATTATATTAATACGTTTATATTATTATTACGCAGCCAAATTTTCCGTTTTAAATTAGACGTCTTAGTCTTGTCCAGGGCCGGCGCCTACAGGTAATTAAAGTAAATGTAAGTCGTAAGAACAGTGTCGTTAGAGGCTCTTCTAAAAGTTCTCCTAATTAGGGCCTCATTTTATTTAAAAAAACTTAATTTTTTTAGGTAATACAAAAAGCGTCTTATATTTTGAAAAGGGTCCCGTTAAATTAGGGGCCCATGCCCCTAATTTAGGGGCCCATGCCCATAAATTAGGAATGTATGGTACTGCGTAAGAATAATTAGCAGGTAGAACAAAATTTCATCAATTTCTAACATGTCGTTGTTGAAAAATGTACTTAATATGTTTAATATATATGATGTAACAACATAATATTTTTGAATTTTACTAAAAACCAAAGTTATTTTGTTCTATCTCCAAAAGAGGGTGCGAAAAAAAGGGCGTTAGCATAGTTTTAAAAAGTTTTTTTTATCTAAAAATTAATAATAAAACATTTTTAAATCTTAGGAAATACCTAAATTCTCAAAATATTTTTTCAATTTAGCTGCGAACAAATTCAAACTTTGACATCGATTTTCTCAGTTTGCAAAAACATGGAGGATAGCACAAGATAATTCTAACGTCGCGATATGGGATTTGGTACTTATTAACAATGTATTTGCTGATAAAAGTGTCAGAGCTTCCGGTATCTATTAGTGTAGCAAAACTTTGTCCATTTATTTCAATTCTTCGATTACCGTGTGTGTGTACCGGGCTCCAGCACTTATCATTGCAGACATATCATCGGGTTCAGCAACAGCTAATGATTTATTCGATTTACTCTCGAGTTCCTAATAAACGCCCCCGTCCCCGTTTATTAATTTTTGGATATTTTTCCCACCCATCCCTCGTTTATTAAATTTCAGAACAAATCTCCCCTCCCCCCGTATATTAGATATTTACTAAAATTCCCACCCACCCGTTTATTCCCAACCCCCTTTGTATTCGGCACTCGAGAGTACATACTTTTGCAAAATGTCCTTGTTTCTGGCATTTGTGACAAACAGTATCCCTAGCAGAACAAATAATGAGAGGATAGCGATTGCTTCTACAGAAGTAACACATTTTCGTGATTTATGGTTTGCTGATTATCTGCAAACCATAATAATTTCTTGCATTACGCAATTGTATTGATTTCAGGTACGTTAGACTGATACTGCTCAAAATGTTTTTGTTTTGTTTTGGAGAGTTTTAAACCAGTGACAAAGGTATTTCTCCATACGGATTAAAGCACTTTAATATATATATATATATATATATATATATATATATATATATATATATATATATATATATATATATATATATATATATATATATATATATATCCTGATATTTACAATTATTTGTTATTTAACCCTGCTGAAATTGCAAGTAAAGACTTAAGTGACTACAAAACGTGTAAAGCTTATAGTTATTTTAAATGTGGCTGGCTTGAACCTTTATTTTACCATCAAATAGGAATAGAGAGTAAATATTGCTATTTAAAAGGGAACTGTAGAAAATCTGAAAAAATTAATGATCCCTTACACAAGCTATGGATTATTATTAATAAAAAAACTGCTAAAATAATTTCAGTACATTGTACTTGTCTAGCTGGTCTATCGCAGACATGTAATCATGTTGCTGCAAACCTTTTTCGAATAGAGGCTGCTGTTAGAAATGGTTTGACAAATGTAGCTTGTACTAGTTCAAAATCAGAGTGGCTTCCAAATCGTAGTAACACCAACAAAAATATGTGACTTAAAATTTGATTGTGATGAATTTGGTCAGCGTGGAAGAAAAAAGCGTTCACTAGTATCAAATGAAAAGCGTAACTACAGCCCATTAGTAAACTGTGATATAAAGCTTTTAAATTTAACAGACATAGCAAAAGCAATCAAAATTTTTGCTCCTCATAGCATTAACTTCTGCTGTACCTAAACCTGAAATTTATTATATGGAAGAATTAATCGTGTTTGAAAATGTTACCAAACCTACAATTTTAACCATGGATGATATTATTGTTATGTCAGACAATAAATTTTCTTTTTGTGAAAATATAAAAACAAATATGACTCAAAAAATAATTACTGATATAGAGCTTCTGACTATGGGTCAAAACACAAATAAGCTTTGGTTTAATTTTCGAAAGCGAGTTATAACTGCTTCAAAAGCTCACGATGTTCTAAAAAAAAATTAAAAAAATTAATATGAGCATTAAAGTTGACATGTGGTCATTACACCAAAGTATTTTAGGGTTAACTTTTGTGAACCCAGATATACCTGCATTAAAGTACGGGAGAGCGATGGAAGTTAAAGCAGCATGCCAGTTTTTTGAAGTTATGAAATCCTTTCATCAAAATTTAACTGTAAATAAATGTGGATTATTTTTAGATGTAGAAATGCCCTATATAGGTGGAAGCCCTGATAGAATTGTTCGATGTTCCTGTTGCCCGCCAGCTTGTTTAGAAATAAAATGTCCATTTTCTATAAACCATACATCACCACAAGATCCTAATATATCTTTTCCTTATATTACAAAAAAGTTAAATGAAAAATTTGTCATTAACAAAAAGCATAGATACTATACTCAATGTCAGGTTCAAATGGGGACTGCTAAGATGATTAATTGTTATTTTATGGTATAGACAGCTCATGGTTATATAACTGATAAAATTACATTTGACGAAGCTGGTTGGTTGAGTATGAAAGTTGATTTTATTAAGTATTACAACGATTATAACTTAAATACTATCTTTGTAGATTTTACTATTAACTGATTGGAATAAAATTATGAAAATGAAAATCTGTGTTTTAAATTATAAAACCCTTCTTATATTTAAATTGGCATTTATAGATTTCTTTTTCCTATAAAAGAAGACAATAAGATCCAAATAATGGTGTAACAATATTTAAGTAAAGTTACTCAAAATCAAAAAGTTTATCCACGCTTCTTATTATAGTAAAAAGAAGTAATAAAATGAAACACATGTATTCATTAAAAGTGCATGGTGGTGTCCGGCATCCCTTACAAGTAATTAAAAAATAAAAATTAGAAAAACAACGTCAGTAATTAAATAAAAAAATACAACCTCAGTACTATCGTGTGTTTAATACAAAAAGGGGAGGAAGTTAAGTAATTTTCCAAAAGTTTTCCCACCCACAAATGTTTATTAAGATCAACCCCCTCCCATTTATTAACACCAAAATTTAAAAAAATCTCTTTAATCTTTGTTGATAATAATGTTTTGATTTTAATAAAATAAGCTTTTCCTCACTTTAGACAAGTAAACTAAATCCTATTGTATTTATAAAACAGTTGTTAAAGATGCACAGTTGACCACAATCTACAAACTTAAATTGGTTTATGCATGTTCTGTAAAAAAAAAAAAAAGCCAACCCTTAAATTAAGATTCCCCTATTTATAAGGTCAGAAATAAAATTTACACCCTTCCTTGTATTAAGCATTTAAGAGTAGTACTAAATTAAAAAATATATATACATTTTAAACAAGTTTAAACAATTTTTTTTATTAAAGCAGGATTTAAATTGCACAAAGCTGCACACGATAAAATCATATCATCCATATGATGAAGCATTGAAATAGGTAATACATTTTTTAAGATTCGAAAGGTTTTTATTCTGTTTACAGCCCTTTCTATGTGAATTCTTAAGTTAGCAACATCAGTAGTCTTCTTACATTCACTTGCAGTCATTTGACTTTTTACTCTTGCACCTGGTGGGACTGATAAGCTGCAATAAAAAAATAATAGTTCTTCTCTTATTTGAAATCCTCTGTCTGCCATCACCTCATCGTCTCTTTCCAACAGATCATAAAAACCACTGTCACTTGTAATAAATTTATCTGATGCTCTGCCACCGTAACATTTGGATAGAAACGTTATGTATCCATTTAGTGTTATACCAATTAATACTTTCACAGTGTTGTGATGCTTATAATCAGACCAAGTCACTGCTTGGTTGTAAAGGGACTTTGGAAGTTCAATAAATATTTCAAAACAATCAAGAATCACTCTACACTTGTGATGCTTTGCTTTCACAAAAGACTGTGGCAAGTTTTTTTTTATGACTTCACTTGGCAGCCAAACAATAATAGCTTGTCCAAGAATATTAGCAATAATTCTAATAAAAGTTGCAAAAGTATTAGAACACAAAGATTTTGAAATACCAAAACGATCAGCCATATCTTCATTTAATAAACCTAAGCACAACCGCATAAGTGTCATTAAAAGATTTTCTCTGTGTGATAACAGTTTACATTTAGATACAGATTTGAGTTGCTTAACTTTGCTATGTGAATGTTTTGGGCCTCTCCAATAACGAATTGAGGGTAAAAATGGTTTTAATAAACCAAAAATAACGTTAAAAATAGCTATGGAAAATTTACCAGTATAAAGGTTCATTTTCTTATCATTGTTAACTAATCTTCAAGAGAATTTTTGTTTAGACTTGACTGTTTGTTTTATTTTTAACTTTTTTAATTGATTAGTAAGGCTATTTACTTTACTCACGTAAGAGGTGATAAGTGAAGATTTGTATTCACATGAAGTACATTTATTAGGTAGTGGTAAACTCATTGAATAGGTATGGTCTGATAATATAGGTGACAAAACATCTGCATTAAAACTAACACTTGGAAACTTGGTGACAATACTTTTTTCAGTCAACAAAGGTTCTACAGGCTGCATTTTATTAGAACAATGTAAAGAAGTGATTGGGTGATTTAATAATGTTCTTCTAGCTTTTTTTTGTACAGGTTGATCAAAACCCATATTTATTGTTGGATTAGGGTTCATAACAGTTGGTATTTTATCAACAAAATGATCAGAGCATACTCTATCAGCAGTTCCAGGTTCCCATGCACTTACTTTCTTCTTTCCTTCTCTTCTAAGCTGACTAATCCAGTGTTTTCTTTTTTCGCTATTTCTCTTTAAACTTGGGAAACAAAACATTCGGAATGGTAACTCACATCCACACTGGTATAATATCTTCCCTTCGTGTTGAAAACACGTTTAATTTTTCAGTTTTTCTAGCTTATAGGAACTATTGGTACATCCTATAACAGCACAATTAACTTTCATCTTATCACTATATTTATCACTAATTCGCGGTGAGCGAAAGATACTATGACTCAAAATGAGGTTTTGATTTTTTAAAAAACGAAGACCAGATATATTAATGAATTGGGGAGAAATGTAGGAGAAAGCTTCTACATTGAGTAATTTAGGGATAACATGCAAGGGAATGCTGCTACATCGACTGAGGGTTTGGGTTAAGACAGGTATAGATTAATCGATGTAGCAGCACTCTCCTACACTTCTCCTCAAATCAGTAATATATCTGGTCTTCGTTTTAAAAAAAAAAAAAACTCATTTTGAGTCATAGTATCTTTCGCTTACCCTAATTCGCAACTGAGAAAATAAATATTTACCCTTCTAAATTCGTTCCAGGACTTTTTTTTGCGCGGTATTAATAATGGCAGAACTTCGCTTGAACTGGTGTATTAGACAATAGAAAAGTTTAATATTAACTAACCGTAATTCCCTAAGGGATATATACATATAAAGTAGCAATTATATACACAAGTTATAAAACAACCTAACTCCCCAAGGGAGATTATAAGTAATTATTTACGACAATTCTTTTTATAAAAATTTAACTTAACAAAGAATAAAAACTTAGATAATCGAAAAGTATGATGAAAGAATTTCTTTTTATTAATAAATTAAATAAAGAACTCAATCTGAAAAAAAAAACAGTATTATCTAATGAAATATTAATAACATTCAAAAACATTGAAATGCTCTAATAAAATTGTGTTTATTAAAACCAATGTATTAATATGTAACATTGTCAATATTTTTATGTCATAATCCCAGTCAGCCATTTCATATCATAATTATATCATATTGATCTCATACTGTGATATCAATATGATATAATTATGATATGAAATGTGAGTTTTCTTGATCCATCTTCTCTGGGTTTTTCCCAATGATCAGCATCAAAGTGTACCTTAAGGTGGTAGAGCTAGAAAAAATATGTAAAAATTTTTAAAAAATCGTTTTTTGTTTTATTTTCGAAGGAAAATTACTTAGCTTTCATGTATTAAAAAAAAATTTTTTTTTTAAATTATTTCTTATTTAGTTTTTAAAGCTTTTATGTAACTTTTATGTAACATACAACGACTAGTCCTTAGTTACGCCCTTAGCAACGGTAAACAGTTTTTTTACCTTGATACCTTTCCATAAAGAACAACAAGATTTATGCCATACACTGATAAACGTGCAATTGTTAAAGGTCATTAGCTTAAGGAACATTGTAAATTTTGGCAGTTTTTTGAAGCAACTTTAGTGCATGCTGTTTAATTTTGAAGTTATAAACCTTTTCAGATTTCACCTCAAGTATTATAAATAATGAGTACTTCAAAAAATAACATTAAAGTATCTAATAAGCAAAACTTTGGACGAAAAAAGAAAAGATTTTTTCATGGAAATCGTTATACAATTGCAGCAGAAAGACAACAGAAAAGCAATCTGAATATTGTTCCAGCTTCAAGTTGTGCAAGTGCAAGAAAATTACTGCCTCTGATAAATAGAAATCAAGTTGTAAATGACAAAGTGAATAAAGATTATTTCATACTTATCAATTTTTCAATTTTAAGTGATAACGTGGAAGATGTTAGATGTCCAGATTGTTACAGCCTTGTTACCATTGTTGATAATCTTTCTAAGCGCATGGGTTTTGCCCATAACCTTGAAATCAAGTGTAGTTTATGTGAATGGAAAAAGGTTTTGTATTCTTCTAAGCAGATTAGTAAATTTAATGGAAATACAGCCCAGAGTAGGAAAACATTTGAAGCAAACACAAGAATGATAATTGGATTTAGAGAAGTAGGTAAAGGGTATCAATCTATGAAAAACTTTAGTCGCTGTATGAATTTACACTGTTTGACAGCTACTCCATTTAGAAAACTAAATATAGAAATATCAAAAGCTTATGATAAAACTGCTAAAGAAAGTATGAAACGTGCCACAAATGAAATGAAAGATAACTATACTGATTATAATAAACCAATAATGAAGCATGTTAAGATTGATGGTGCATGGCAACGATGCGGTCATACCTCCCTTAATGGATTTGTAAGTGCAATTGTGGGTGATAAGTGCGTTGATTATGAAGCAATGTCAAAAATTTTGCATGGGCTGTAGAATATGGAAAAATAAAAAAGCTTCACCACGATACAATGCTTGGAAAGCTCAACATGCCTGTCATATAAATCATAAACAATCTTCTGGGTCAATGGAAGCAGCTGGTGCTGTAAAAATATTTGCACGTTCAATTAAAAATAACAATATTATTTATACTCATTATCTTGGAGATGGAGATAGCTCGTCTTTTAAAGAAGTAATAAAGTCTGATCCCTATAAAGACTATAAAATAATTCCTGAAAAGTTAGAGTGTGTTGCACATGTACTAAAAAGAATGGGTACACGGTTACAAAATTTAATCAAAAATTACAAAGGAAAGCCAACTCCACTAGGTGGAAAAAATAAAATCACAGAAAATGTGATTAATAGTATGCAAAATTTTTATGGTTTAGCTATAAGAAGTAATACAAATAACATTTATGCCATGAAAAAGGCAATATGGGCTATTTTGTTCCACTGTACTGGATATTCAAATCAAGAGTTTCGCCACTGCTTTTGCCCAAGAACTGAAACTAGTTGGTGTCAATATCAATATGACAAATTACATAATACTTCAAATTATAAAGAACATATTAATTTACCATTATGGATAAGTAACCTTTTGAAACCAGTGTTTAAAGATCTATCAAATGAAGAATTATTGTTAAAATGTGTACATGGGCAAACCCAAAATGCAAATGAAAGTCTTAATGCATTGGTTTGGTCTCGTTGCCCTAAAAACATATTTGTTTGTAAACAAACTTTTGAAATGAGTATTAATTCAGCAATTTTACACTTCAATGATGGTACTGAAGGTGTTAAAAATGTTTTACTTTCATTTGGACTATCAGGAGTTGTTACAAATTCTAAATCTTATGAACAAAATGTTTCATGTGTAAAGAGCATGGAGATCAAGTCAAGTGAAAAAGTAAAAAATAGAAGAAAAGGTCTCAGAGCAATAAAAAAAAAGATACTCTGATAAACAAAGTCAAAATAAAAAATCATTTTATGTATCAGGAGGGTTTTAAACATATTGTATATATATTTTTAAACATATTACAACTTTATTTTGCGTTTTATTGAACTTTGATTTTTTGCAAGATTTTGTAACTTCAAAACCAAATATCTTAAGTTAGAAAAACTCAATTTACTTGAAATTTTCACAGTATCTTCAGTATATATATAAAGTTCATTTGAACTAAAATCTTATAATAATTAAATGTATTTATTGCTTATTATTTGTTTTTTATTCTCAATTTGGTATTTTTTTTTTAACGCATACATAATAAATTATGTATATTTTTTATTCTATTAAGATTCAATGTCATTTTAGTTCAAATGAATTATCTATTGTTGAAGAACAAACCTACAAAAATTCATTGTGATTTGTTGATTATATTTTGTGATATTGTGTTTTAAAATTTCCTTATTTTTTGGTTTTTTTATATAAGTATGGGTAGGCGAGGCAAATTAATAAAAAAAAATTGTCAAATGATTTTTAACATAAATTCAAACTTTTTTAGAAGTTCTTGGGAAATAACAATAGTTTTTAAAAGAATTAGGTTTTTTCTAGTCCTACCTTCTTGGGAAGCATTTCATAATAAATCCTTCCTCAGGCCTGTTATGGCAGCCTACTGCAGCACAACCAGGCATACTTTTACAAATACAATATTTGTAAAAGTATGCCTGGTTGTACTGCAGTACGCTGCCATAACAGGAAGGATTTATTATGAAATGCTTCCCATTATTATTATTATTCCCATTATTATTATTATGAAATGCTTCCATAATGATTTTAGACGCCATCTTTTTGCCAAAAAAACTAACTGCGATTTAAGTCTACTACTAAATTTGTATCAAATATTTAATATTTAATACAAGTTTAGTAGACTTAAATTGCAATTAGTAATTTTGGCAAAAAGATGGCGTCTAAAATCATAAAAATAGAACAACCAATCAAAAACGATCACACGTATGTCAGCTCTCTGAGTATATAGGCTCTCTAAATAGAACTACATTTCTTTATTTTTCAATATAAATTACGTATGCAATATAAATTTAATAGATATTTTATACTAAAAATTGTAGAGATTTGCATAAATATAGTCGTATTTGTAATATATTTTTTAAATTAACAGAGATCTCCAATAAAAATTTATTAGACAATTTGTCCCCTCAGTATTATCTTGTTCTATCTACAAATTTAATAAAAA